GCTGCTTCGCCGTATTTTCAAAAGCCCCAGCGTCAAAGTGCATGCAGGCTGCCCTTGGGAATCGTTTTTCCAAATTTTGTTCTTAGCTCCTTTCCTTTGATCCAATATAAAACTGCTGCTGTTATTATTATTGTTTTTAATTCCTCTCGTGGAGGCGATGTGAGACCCATTTTCGGTACAGAGCTTCAGAACTTGCAGGAAAAGGAAATATCAGATTATTGGTAACCAATCTCCTGGTGAACCTAGTTCTATTATTTACATATTTATTTCTTTAAAACACCCATTACGGCCAGTTGAGAGAGGAGGTGATCAAAATAACATAAGAAAAGGTGTAAGTGGAGACTCTCAGCTTCACAGACCTCTGTCCTTCCCTTCTCCTCCCCCCGAATATATTTAATTAGCCATTACCCTTTCATTATATTTATTGCTTAATTTTCACTTATTTATTGTGGGAAACAGTGGCGGCAGTAATTGTTCCTACCCCCTAAAGCACAAAAGGCGCCGTTTGGGGGATGATGCTCTCTTTCACTCAACGAGATTAAAATAGAATATACGGAGATGGCTGAAGATAAAGAGGAGCGGGGAATTTTTAGCTCTTGGTTCCTGGGAAAAGAATCTGTGCTGGCCAGGAGAGTAGTAGGTTGGTCAATGAGAGGAAGAGGAAGTCACTTTGTTGCTTGCTGGGTCAGATTTCTTGCATGGCGTTAAGTGTCTAGCCCTCCCCAGAAAAGAGCTGCTTTCCTGAGCTTGGTTTCCTATTCCCCATGAGGTAATGCAGGACTGCAGGCCTAATGCACTTCAGGAGTTATTGGCCTAAAACCCAGACTTTATGTGACGAGCGGATAGGAATGAGGAGGTGACCAGCGGAATAAGCGGTTTTTCCGCCCGGCTGCCGGCACTGCGGAGCTGGTGCTGGCGGGGGCGCGCCTTCTGCCCGAAACACACCCATGCGCCTCGGCAGCTCCGTCTACCCCGAAGCAGGGGCGGCCCAACATGTGCCGTAACGAAACCTAGGCATTTCATCAGCCGTCATTCATCTAATGCATTTCCCATGATGAAAGCACCCACTCCCTCTCACTATTAAATTAGCAGGGATACTGCTTTTGGTTCTCTAGAGAAAACCACGCCTTTATTCTCTCCAGTCCCGTTGAAGACATCTTTTTGAAGTAAACATTTTGCTGAGAGTGGATCCTCCCTTTTAGAGACAAAAAATAGACCCATGAAACTCGGTGCTGCAGCAGGCTGGGGGGAGGGCAAGGAGAGCTTTCGCCCTTTCCTAAGAGATGGCTTGTTTGCCCAGAAACAACTTTCTTGACATGTAGGATAAGGCCCCTCGGAAGATGCTTTGTGGGAACACCTCTTGTAGCAAATCTTCATCCAAGACAGACCGGAGAATTTTCTGTGCAGGAGACACAGACGAAAATTAAGCATTTCCAAGACTCCAGAGCGCTCAGACAGAGTCTTCGATGTTTCATTTTCGAGCTAAATATAACTCTCTGCAGAGAAAGTTGTGTCGTGCGTACGAAATGTCACTTCTGGCTCCTCGCGGGGTGATTTATAAGTAGCACTGCTGACGCTTGGGATGTGTGTTTGGCTGTGGACTTCGTTATCGCCAAAAAGGACTTGTCCTTAGAAGTTGTCAGAGAAGTTTGCAGTCCCGGCATGTGTCCTGGTTAAATCATAGCCTCCTATGTATGTGTATATTTGGGTTTGAAAAATGAAGGGATAAAATGAAACAAAAAATGTAGAAAAAGGCTTCAGAGTTTGGGAGTCCAAATAAATGCTGAAGGAATCCTTTTAATGAGTTACAGACATCGGGCTATCTCCGAGCTGAAGAATAAATAAGAGACAATTAAGATAAGATGTAAGGGGCTCGGGGGCAGGGGCCCAGCTCCACCGCCCGCGTCCGGCGGCGCCGGCGAACACGGAGCCTTTCGGCTTTGGGCGCCCCGGTCAACTCCTGTAACTCCTATTGACTTTTCAGTAGTGATCAGGAGAAAGGAGACCCCGCAGGGAAAAGGCGACTGCCCACAGGTGGTCAGCATCCTCGCAGAGGGGATAGAAGCCCTCTTAGCCAGGGAGGGAGAAGTTGGTTTTGTATTGTCCGTCTCCCGACCCACACCGTGAGTGGAAGGTTTGGGTGAGAAATACCAGTTTCTGTATTTCTCCTTTTTCGGGGTCGCACAAACCCGTCAACTCCAACCTCCTCCTGCGCCGAAAGATCAGACTCCTCCTCCAATGGCTTTGGGAAATCTGTCCCGTTTGTACCGACTACTTATCTGAGTGAGAGTTGTGGGGGAGTTGGTGCTGTGGTCACAAGGGAAGGATGCGTCTGTGTGTGTAAGCCGAGTCGTCACGCTAATTAGGTTCATTAAGCCTTCCTATTCGGGTGAGAGTAGAAAGGACCGATCTGTATCTGTTGCCGGGTCCTGTGCACCAGAGAGCCCGCTCCCCTATCGAGCAGACCCCGTGCGCCCCGCGGCCCCGGGCCTGCTGAGACCTGGGCTCAGAGCCGGGCCTCGGCAGCTCGGGGTGAAGATGGCCGGGACTGACCACGTAGTGTCTTACTGTCAGCGAAACCTTCGGATTTCAGTCGTGCCCATGCAGCTATCAGCACCTGGCAGGTCCCGTGTGGGCCTAAAAACGTTCTTTAATTAATTGAATTTAATGAATGCATAATTTTATTAACATCTTCATCAATACTGCTAATATTAGTAGGTCAGCATGATTAATATTAACTAATAATATTTCAAACACTATCCCCCTGGCCTTAAGAACAAGATTCAGCTGAAACTACAGGGCGAATCACAGCGTTTCTGAAAGCAGTTTCTCCTGACGGGTCACTGTAATTTCCTCTTCACTGTATATAGAGAGGAAGAAAACAAACGGCAAAGCCGCGATGGAGGAGGGAGGTGCCAGGACGGGGCGCAGGAGGAAGCCCCCTCTCCCAACTCCTTTCTTTGATGGTGATGGAGCACTAAGTGTGTTCATCAAGCTCTGCTCACTCAGGACAGGTAGTGACAGAAAAGGATGCTACAACACTGCTGAGAAAAGGGACAATGCAGAGATTCAGAGATATCCCGGCAAGCCAGAGTCTGGCAGCAGCAGATCAGGAGGAAAGTCAGGGTGATTTCCCATGAGGAGTTAACTCTTTCCACCTCACACTTTACTGGCTCAACTCCTGCCACACTCTCTCGTCCGCGTTTTCTTCAGAGTTTTGCCGCCTTGAGCCTTCCCATGGCTGTAATGGGTTAGTTTAACATCTTTAGGGCCTCAAGTAGCTCTTTAGCAAACATATCCCTAGACTAGATCAGCACAAGATAAATATTACTTTAGCATCCTTACAACACGTGCGAGCATATCTCATTTGCATATTTCTAAGTTAATAATCGTGAGGCAATTGCAGTGTTTTGACAACGATCAGGAGCTGAATATGCTTAATATGCTTAATATATGCCCTCCAGTTGCACAGAACAGAAGGGCAGGGTTGCAAATATGCATTCTCCATTTGTTTGACATTTTGAAGAAGGTAAAGAATGGCTGAACTAATGGCGAAATCTTACAGTCATTCAATAATTTAGATTTTATTGAATATTCCCCTTCTTTCCTCCGACATTTCAGTCTTGCTAATTAGGACAAATAAGAAGGGGCCTGCTGTTAGCAAGGATAGTAACTGGCGAGGTTCCATTTATTAAGTCACTTTCCGTGGGTGTAGAATTGATCTGTGGCTGTGACTGGCATGCTTTCTAGACCTGCAGCAACTTTGAGAAGTCATTATGATCTGCAGAAGGGCCCTTGTTAGAGATTTGTATTGATAAGATGTCAGGGTTTACGGTGGTGAATTCGTAGAAAGTCTTTCTCCGCCCCCGCCCCACCCCGCGCCCCCCCTCAGCGGAGGGCGCAGCCGGGGCTGGTGGCGCAGCGCCGCCCTCCCGGCCCGTGCCCGGGGGAGCCCGCAGCGGGAGACGTCCCGGTTCTCCTCCCCGCTCGCCTCTCCCTTCCCCTCCTCCCTTCCACGCGGAAAGGGCGTGTGTGTTTGTGGAAATCCGCTGCAAGATTAATTTGCTAAGAGAGACATGTATGTTTTTAAGGTGAATAAGAAGCTCTCCTCTCTTGAGAGGCAAATAGGAAGTGCAAATACATGATTCCCCCTCCCCCACAATTCGGAATGACTGCTGCCCTGGGGATGGGGCAGGGCAGTGCGCGTGGGAGTGCGGAGGCAGCGCGGGGCGCGCAGCGGCGGCTCCGCATCCCAGGCGCTTGGCGTGGGCTAGCTCCAACCATCTGATTCCCGGCTCCTGCCATTCCCCAACAAGCCTGTATTCAGGATTGCGAGGGGGAGGAGGCGAGAGGGGAAATATGTAAAGCACTGGAACAAATGGCGCTTTGATAGACAACGTCTGGCAGTGCCAACGCTGTCGCTGAGTATGTTCCAGAAGCTGGAGATATTAAATAAACTTAAAGATAATGAATAGCCTTCTGTGGTACTTGGGATATGCATGGCTTTCTTTCCCCCCGTGTGACTGTAGGACTTTCAGAGCGCAAAGGAGTCAGTAAAAGAGGGCAGCACAAGCGTCGCAATGGGGGAGGGAAGTGGTGACTCCCAGGCTAGGATGCGAATGCAACTCATCTGAACTCACTATAAATTATGAACTAGACGCTTCCTTTTATTTGTGTGACGGTGTTAAGTAATGTTCACTTGAATATTTTAATTGCAATCTACTTCGATTTTCAATATAAACCTAATCCTTTCCGGAGTGTGATGCTAGCAGGTTTGAAACCGCTGCTCGTTCAGCAAGGGAGGGAAATAGGCTGGTGACATTATTAAGAACAAAAAGGTAGCTGTAAAATAGAAGAAAGAATACAGAAGAGATAATCCAGATCTTCGAATAGCAATTCCGAAAACATCTGTCGAGGGCTTTCTTTATGTTAGCTTATTTCTTTTCACAGCCTGGAGTAGAAGGAAAGGCTAGGTCTGAGGCTCTTAATCGGAAATAAAAATACCGGGCTGCCACGCGGAAGTTTCCCAGACTCCACGCTTTTCCTGGTGATTCTGGTGGGAGGATGACACCACCTAAGCACACTCCCAAGCCCGAAAATAAACGAAACGACTCCTCAGTTCTCCGCGGGGAGAGATCGCAGCCCCCGAGGAAGCCACGGCAAAGGCTTCCACGCCTGGCGGCAGCCCCTGTCCAGGGCGCCGGGCGGACAGCGGGGCCGCGCCGGCCCCTCCGCCGACCCCGAAGGAAGGGGCTG